TGAGACTTTTGCTGCATGGTGCTGGGCTGGTTGCGCTGGCTGGATCCTCCCTAGAAGCAGAAAGGAAGTGACACTGAGGCCATGGAGTGCACCCAGAGAGGGGAAACAGAGCTCTGAGGGGTCTAGAGCACAGGCCTCATGGCGAGTGGCTGAGGGAACTGGGATTGCTCCATCTAGAGAAGTGTCAGGGGAGACCTTATCTCTCTCTTCAACTCCCCGAAAGGAAACCGTGGTGAGGTGGGGGTCGGCCTCTTCTCCCATGTACCAGTGATAGGATGAGGGGGGAATGGCCTCAGCTTGCACCAGGGAAGTTCAGGTTGGATATTAGGAAACGTTTGTTTTCTGACTGTGGTAATGCATTGGCGTGGAGGGTGGTGGTGTCACCATCCCTGGAGTGCACAAGATACATGAAGATATGGCGCTGACGGCTGATGGGGAAGGGCTGGGGTTGGACTAGGTGATCTCCATGGTCCTTTCCAACCTCAGTGATTCTGTGACATCAGCATCAGCCATTTGACCCTAGCACCCACAGGCTGCACCTCTCTGCGCTGTACCTGGCCAGGCATGGGGCCACCAGAACAGCAGGGCTGCATAGGGTCCAGGAGCACTCTCAAGGCTAACGCACCAGCCATGGATTCAGAGAGGCCAGTCATTTCCTCTTTGAAGCAGAATGCCTTTTTTTTTTTTTTTCCCCAGGGAAAATTTATAGTGAGGAAACATTCTGGCTGATGAAACCAAACCAGGAACTGGAACTCTGATGTAATCTGCAAGCAGATGCTTTGCTTTCTCCCTCACTTACAGTGCAAATGCTCACTCCCACAGAACAGCAGCAGCTCACCCCTCTGCACCCACATCGTAACGGCCTCTTCTGAGCAGGACTCACCCCATAGCCCTCACCAGTCCGCTTAACAGCACCAAGCCTGCAGTCTTGCTAGGGCACCTTCCCAATGGGAAGAGCGAAAACCAACTAAGTCAGGATAAAGCAAAGATCCCACACCAAGAGGTGGGTGAGCACAATGCGTACTTTGCGAAGGGGCTGGCTCACCTGCCCATCCTGCTGAAGGTGGTGATGCAGCATCTGGGAGTGAGGCTGCTGATGCGCAGGCAAGATATGGAGAAAAGGGGCTGGAGCATAACCCGGGGCAGCACCAGGGTTCAGGGGCCCAGTAGATCCGAGAGCAGAGGGCAGGCTGAAAGGAGGCGGTGTGCCGGCGTGGAATCCCTGCTTGTCAAACGTCTGCACCAACAGGCAAGATGGATATTATCAGAAAGCAGCAGGAGCACACACAGACCAGACAAGAACAAGAGAACACAGATCCCTGTGCCTTTCCTACACCCCATGAGCAGGTTAGGCCAAATGCCCACAAGCACTTCAGTAGATGAGTTTCAACCTCTGTTCTCACTCCTATTTCTGCTCTAATGCCTGTAACTTTAAAAAAATACACTTCATTGATTATTGTGTTGCTTTCCCTGACCTTTTTTCATTTAGTGGGACATAGGATTGCAACAGCTGCCTGAAATCAGCTCTTCACAACCTGAGAGGGTCTAGACCACTCAGGGCAGCCTATCAAAAGTACAAGAAATTGCAATAACATTTTCCTTCCTCAGGCCTAAATTCTGCCCCTGATGCTAAGCACATGCCATGGGGCTGGAGTCTGACCTGCAGTGGTGAGGCCCTGGCACCACTGCCCAGAGCAGCTTTAGATGCCCCATCCCTGGCAGTGCTCAAGGCCAGGTTGGATGGGGCCCTGGGCAGCCTGAGATGGTGGGGGTAACCAGCCTATGGCAGGGGCTGGGTGCTTTTTGAGGTTCCTTCCAAACTAAGCCATTCTGTGATTCTATGATCACAGTGGACACAGAACATAGTGGTGGACTATGAACATAGGTGAACCCCACTATTTTGGCAGGAAAACAGCTGACTGCCCCCATTGCATACCACAGCTCCTCCAGGCACCTTCTGTATGCACAGCAAGAGCCCCACAGGTGAGCAGAGTAGGGCTGGTACCCATGCAAGAGGCCCTGAGGCACAGGGGTGGGCACTGCTGATTGATCTCTGGAGAAAAGCAAACATGCTCTTCATTCACCTGTTCTGGGGGCTATTCTTGACTAAAACTAGTGGTGCTACCATGTTCTAGCTGCACAAGGGAACAGAGTGTGAGGTTGCAATGGGACGGGACAGGACAGGGAGCTTTGTGTGTCAGAAGATGATGCCGCAGATGGAAGATACTCCTCTCCAGCAGCAAGCACAGCCAGCCCAAGGAAAGCCAAAGCCCGCTGCCACCAATCAGCCAGGGACATGCTCCTGGGTGCCAGCATGCTGCTGAGCCACCAGACTGGTTTAAGGCCCCTGGGAGAATGGTCCAGCATTCCTCACCTGAGTCTTGTTATAGACTGAGCCACTGATATCAGGCACACCTGTGTTACTTGAGGTCACAGAAACACCTGGAAAACAAAAAGCCACTGACAGTGAGAAAGCTAAGCAGCAACCAGCCTGAATCCTGTGTGTTTGCTGTGCTGCTGGTGCTGAGGCACCCAAACCTGCAGCCTTTGCCCCACGCACCTTCTGCTCTGCACTCTGAAACCCACAGGAGTGAGAGGAGGGGCACAGCCTCTGCTCCTGCTGTAAAGCAGGAAACCAGCCCACTGGGGGATAGGTCATCCTCTACTACAGCTGGGAATCAAATTCACTCTAGCTGTGCTGAACACTCATTTAGCTCACAAAACACCAGTTCTCCCCTAGGATTAGGGATGCATTTGGCTCTATCACAGCATTCAGAAGCTTTCCAGTAATGCACTCAGCAGTGAGCCTCTGCATCTGCTACAGGCTTGCACTCCTGTCCTCACACATCAAACTGAAAAGTGAGGTCTATAACTCTCTTCTGCCCCTTCAAAATTAATATAAGTGACTCAGGCTGCCTTCCACACAGATTAGCTGGTGCCACAGAAGCAGAAACACTCTGTCACCAGCAAGTTGACTGAAATTGCCACTCATTTGTGGGCTTACAAAGACAGAATCTGATGGCTTCACTTGAATCAGTATAAAACCAGTAGTTTCTCCAGCCAATGAACCAGAGGCCCTGACCCAGTGGGTTGGAGCTGCCTTATACTGCACCATTCCTAGGAGACAGCTCATTTGCAGGCCACTGAGTAGAGCATCACTGGCTTTTAGTTGAAGGCCTGTATACCAACCAGCTGGTGTTTCAGATGCACACAAATGCTTGGTATTTGCTTAAGCCCAAGGATGAACTCGTTAGTGCCAAGCAGTCTGGTATAAATTTCTCAGGTCTAACCAGCATGTGCAGAACAAAGCTGCATACATTCCTTAGTCTTGGCAGTTACAGAGGAAACATTTCCAGGCACGAAACAATGCTGTGAGTTACAGAGCATACGGACAGCAGCTGAAACAACAGCCCGGAGATGTGTGAGCTGCCCCGCTCACTGAACACACAGCTAACTCATGTGCCTACCAACAAACCCAAAATCCAAGTCAGCATTTGGCAGGTGACCATTTCAGCAGCAACACCAGCTGCCTCGTCTTCAGTGACACAGCACTGCTGTGAGACTGCTTATTCTTCACCAAAGACAACTTTGGCAGGGAAAGCAGCTCACCAATTCTCCCATGTGTAACTGAGGACAAAGCTGCACATCAGACACACAGATCCTTACCCAAAGTTCAGGCACTAGGTTTAGGAGGAATTCTTGGGCCATTAGGAGAAAAAAGCATTTTGTATACGGGAGATGGAGAAACAGCTTGGATCTTGACCCTCTTTAAAGCTGGCCGCTATGTTGACTGCACAGCACTGGCAATACTGGGAGTTTGCCCTGCTAAATCCCACTCAAGAGTAACCTCAAGTCTCGTGTGTTACCTTTCCCAGGTCCAGTGCCAGCAGATTTGTTTTGTGCTTGAGATGACCCACTGTAGCCTCCTTTGCTGTAATCTCCAGCTGCCGTTCCCTGCGTTAAGTCATCATAGCCTGCCAGTGTGTACAAGACAACGTGTTAAAGTGTGCAAGCAGCTCTGCAGATGCTCCAGTGAAAAACACAGTGATGAGCATACCTGCTCCATAGCCATGCTGCCCATAGCCACTTGCTTGCTGGAAAGGAGTCGAGGCGGTGTTCAGGTTGACTCCGTGCTGCTTTGCTGATGCCGGAGGTACCTGAACAAAAGAGGAAAGGAACAAAAGGCGCTGTTAGCCGGGCGCTAACAGCAAACCCCCTCTGCCACCTAGTGGGGAAGGCACCTCCAGCTCATACGGGAAAGGTAATTTGGAACCGCGAACACCACGATCACATGGGAGGTTGTGCTCACACTGCCAGCAGTAGATTGCTGGAGCAGATCCCTGCAAGCCACAAGCTGCTTGCCATACTGCCCCTGCTCCTGCATCATATGGCTTTTCTTCCTATTGCAACGCAATCACATCTCAGAAGAGGCTGCACATTCCTTTCATACATGTAATAAAACTAACCACAGACAACAAATGCTTATCCAGAAACCAAAAGGAGCAACCAAAATGCTCTCCAGAATCAACACACCAACCAGCTTCCACCTGAGGCTGTTTCATGAAACACAGTCCTACAGTGTCCTCAGGTAGACTCACCTACCGTTCTGCCCAGAGCACAAGATCCTCCCAAATAACTTCCTCCCTCCTGAGACTACCAGTGCTGCTCCACGGCTTCCTGGGGTGTCACTTCCTCTGAAAGATGTCCTAGGCATTCTCAGCATGCTTGACTCAGCTTTTGGTCTCTGTTTCTCTACAGACTGAGAATTTTCAGGAACACTAAAAAATCCATAAGCTGCAGCTGCCTACTACTTACTGTAACCTGTGCCCACGATTTCAGGCCTTTCAAATTTCCTCTTCTCTTGGAGAAGGGGCAGCATTATTTTCTCAAGCTTGAACAAATCTTTTGGAGATCCCTTGCAGGATGGAGAAGGTTTTGCTCTGAGAGTAAAAGCAGAGAGGCACAAAAGGAGAGTTACAGCCATGGCTGTGACACTTACAAACATGGTCGGCCCATACTGGAACGCACTGGGTACACCTGGAACCCCAGCATAGTAAGGCAGCCCAGTGTAGCTGTAGCCTGGTGGCAGGGTCGGGTTGAGGAAGGGCTGCTGAGTGGTGTGATGAGTCTGCGTCTGGTTCTGCTGCGGCTGGGCTAGGGTTGTTGCAGGAGCAGGAGAGGCAGAATCCCCACGGCCAAATTTTGTTACATCACCTGCAAAAGAAAGAACTGATCAGAAGAATGATCAGAGCTTTTGCACGAGGAACTTTGGTGTACAAGTAAACAACTGAAAAAGAAAAAAAACACACATCCTGTACTTGAAAGGCTGGGGTTTCCATGGGAAGAGCTCTCCTGTCTCTATTCCTGACAGTGCAGGTATGTCACCCATTTGTGGCACAGAACTCTGTGTTGTGACTAATTCACCAGTAAAATGTAGACACTAATACCTACCTATTTCACACACTGAGCAGATTCATCACCATCAGACCGTTGCAACAAAATATGCTAAAAGCAGAAATATGGTAGAAAGCCAAAGTGCAAATGGTTGTTGGGTTAAAGTGTGACTCTCCTAGAGGTTAAACTGATTAGCCAAGCTTCGTGTGCTCAGAGCAAGTTAGGATTTACATGCAGTGATGGGCATATTTTTGTCAACATCTGTTTATTTGTGAAGCATGACTAGTTAGATATCTGGTTCCTCACACCACCAAAGTTCTGGAGACAGTAGCCGAAGGCCAGGAAAACAAGGCTTGCATCGTGGACCACCTTATTGAAGAAGTAGGAAGGGAAATTTGGTTATTAATCCAAAATCAACCTCCCAGGAGAAGTGACTATGATGCAGAAAATTTTAAAAAAAATATTTCTATTTTCCGACAGCACTCAGAACAGCCTGTTTATGTGTTTGGTTTTGTAACACATCTCCCTTACATCTGTCTCCTCCTGACCAGTATTCCCCTTCATTGGCTGCCAAGAAGCAGGACAAGATTGAATGCCCACATCATAGAAATTATAATTCAGATGGCTACAGCTCTAAGCTGTAATCAGATGGCAGCAGAAGAAAACCACTTGCTAAACATGCTGCAATGTAATCTCTGCACACTGATAAATGAAGAACAAAAAAAAAAATGAGGAAGGGATTCTCAGACCACTTTTGAGAATGAAGCCCATTAGACTAGGAAGAGGGCAGGGGAACAACTGCAATAGACAGCTCCTGGTGGGATTACTGAAATTATAAAGTAGCAATAACTGGGAATAAGGAACTGCTGGGAGGGTTCTGAAAGGGTCTATTCCCCTGCAGAAAGAGGAAAACAAGACAGCAGAATTTCAAGAAAACATATTAAACTATCAGGTATTTTCCAAGCACTTGTATGTGCACGGGAAGGGCACTAGATGACACTGCCATTTACATTTTTAACAATTTTGCACTTGTCCCCAAACACTACCCAACTTTCTCCCAGAAGAGGCCCCGTATGAATTACCAATCAGATCTATGCAGAAAAATCCACATCAAAATTGTGAGAAGCTTGCTTTTATTTGCCTATTTTGCTTGGGTGAGTGTAATTGCCTACAGAAGGGCAGAACAATTGCTCTTTCAGCAACAGCTGGATGACCTGAATTCAAAAACTGGCACATCACACTTATCTGTCTTTTAACAGCACTCACCTGAGTATGGGTTGTTAGCAAGGCTCCCATCTCTGCCTGTCAAGGTTGCAGGAGCAGGGAATGTAATTCCATAGTAATCCTTAAAAAGATGCAATAGCATTTATAATAGTTGAAACCGTAAAAGACCTGAATCGTTCTTACAAATCCTGTCTTCCAAACATAACAATTTAAAAGCAATGAGAAGCTAGAAGGTCAGCTTCTGCTCAAATTTACAACAGAGTTAGAGATTTTCCAGGATCCTTGATTTCAAACTAAACCTACTTAATGGACACTTAGTATCACCTACAAACAATCACTTAATGGTAATTTTACAAGGCTGGATAAAGCTTCTGTCTTTAACCTGCTAAAGCATCTAGGAGGAAGGAAGTTTAGGGCCTGAGACACAAGAAAAGTCGTTATTTTTATTTTCCCTTAAACACAGAGTGAGTCTAAGAGGTGGCTGCTGACCACCTCTTCCAAGTGCATAGAGTTGATTACAGCTTCTCAACACCTCCTGCCAGCAGAAAAGCCCTAGAGGTTCTGCCTGTAAAGGTACAGAGGAGCAACATTTCTCACTGAGTATTCACCTCTACTCAAAGGCAACAACCAAAAGCTCTTCCCTCCCAACCTGCAGCTCAGAGCTGACACCTTTCAGCAGGACTGAGTCTGGAAGAGCAACAGGCCATGCAGGGCGCAAAGACTTGAGGTCAGGCCAGAACCATAATTGCAGTGTGGATGCAGCCTAACAGTCTTGAACCATGTCCTATTCCCTAAAAGAAAAAACATCACCTAGATAAAGAGTACAGATGGATAAGAAAACTGCAGCAAACAGAGCTGACTGAAAAAAAGTATTTAAACTAGATGTTACAGGAGACTTTGGAGTAGAGGTTTCCAAAGTGGAGTGCCCAAGACAATCCCCTGCTGTGTACGTGCTTTCAGTATCAAAAGGGGGGCTGCAGAAAGAAGGGGACAGACTCTTTCGCAGTGTCTACTGTGACAGGACCAGGGAAAACAAAAAGAGAGGAGAAACAGACTGGATATTAAAAAAAAAAAAATTAAGGGCAGTGAAGCACTGGAGCAGTGAAGCACTGTCCAAACATGTGGGGGTGGACCCACCCCTAGAGACAGTCAAGGTCAGGCTGGACCAGCTCTGAGAACCCGATCTAGCTGTAGGTGTCCCTGCTCACTGCAAGGGAGTTGGATCAGACCTTTACAAGTTACTTCCAACTCAACCGTTCTTCAGTTCATAGACTGAAGCTCATAGACTCTATGATGAGACATTCATTGGCCAAAATTAAAATTAATAACATTTAAGGGGATGGGTGCTCAGACTTTTTTTTATTGATTTTCAACCAAAAGGGTCCATGATGAAAAATGCTGAAATACAGAGACCATTCTTCTAGGTCTCATACAGAAAGTTAGGACAGCGTTCAGCCTGGCAGGCCTGCACTCCAAAATAACAAGGGCACACTAAAAACAAAGCAACATTTTGTTTTCAGTTTGGGTGAGGAGTTTCCCTTTCCTGATCTGGGTGAGCTGTGGGGTAGCACACTGTGTAGTGGTTTTCCTTCTAAGTGGATCACTTGTTCCTTGCTATTTCTGATGCACTGAGCTAATGTTTTAACCACTCTTGCACCCATTCCCACACGTTCTCCAACACTGGAAAAGCATCTTTTTTCACAGGTATCTCAGCAAATTCCCTGACAACTCAAATGCTTTCTCAGATTCAACTTTACGTTCCACACTGCTACACTTGTGTGTCACTGCCCCATTTCTTACACACAGTTCTCCACCACTGAACATGAAATAACTCTGCAAAGATTTATTACTGCAAGGTAATTTATTATTTCCTTCTGTAACTTGAAACCATCTCTTATTTCTCCATTCTTCATCCATCATCCTCTCCATTCCAAATAATTCCCATCTTATCAACTCCAGCATCACTTAAATTATTATATATATAACATAATATATATATATTATATTATTACTATATAATCCAATAACACCATGTTATCGTACTAAACATGCACATGAAGGAGTTGAATTTCTTAAAAAAAGCATGACCCCACAAAAAGGGAATTCCCATTGGTTGGATCAGCACCACTCATTGCTGGAAATATCCCACACGTGGTGACGTCTGCATGTGGACCTCTGCCAACTTTCACTATGCAAACAGACTGGCACCTTGAACATCAGTATTCTTGCTATATACCGAGTAGCAGGAATTTCTCCAGTAAATGCAAAACATAACAGAAAAAGTAACAAGCAAGATGAACACACGAATGATTGACAACAAAACCTTCCCAACAATCAGAGATACATATTTCCATATAAAACAGAAATAACTCAGACGGTGCAATGGAAAAGACATTAGATTTTGGTAGGCAGGGAAGTGTAGAAATAAAACTTAGAATTCTAAGTCCATGAAAGCAACAAAAAAAAAATTCCAAAGCACACAAAGTGCAATTGCCTCAAAAGCACCTGCCCCAGTGCTTTCACATCCCGCACTTAAGCACAACAGCCTGGCTGCAAGCCAGCCCACAAGCAGGCACACTAACAGCAGAGTAGACTGCCTCTGCCTCCAGTACACCACGTGGTCTCACCTCGCCAGACTCAATAGAAGCCTGAAGGAAAAAAGCAAATAGAAAGCAAAACTAAAAACGGAAACAAGGGAATTCTCTCTAGATAATGATGAAAAGAAACATGCAACTTCTCATAAAGCTGGCCTCACAGCAACACCCCAAACATCATCATGAAGATTCACCAGGCTGCTGCCCAGCCCAAGACAAGTCCCACCAAGGCTATGCCTGCAAATCCTCAGTCCCCAGGGATGCGCAGTATCCTACTGCTCCTGCTCCTTCTGCCAGCTCTCACCACTGCCTTCTCGTGCAACCATCTTCGCCACCAGGATGCCAACTTCTCTTGGAAGAGCCTCCAGCTCCTTCAGAATGCGGCTCCACCTCCACCACAGCCTTGCCCACAACAAGATGTGACTTATCCATTTCCAGAAACCCTTCTGGAAAGCAAGGACAAGAAGCAAGCCGCCATCACCACCCTCCACATCCTACAACACCTCTTCAACATACTTAGCAGCCCACGCACTCCAACACACTGGATTGACCACGCACGCCACAGCCTCCTGAACCAGATCCAGCATTACATCCATCACCTTGAGCAATGCTTCGTAGACAAAGGCACGCACTCCCAGAAGAGAGGACCTCGCAACTCTCACCTCATCATCAACAAATACTTCAGATCCATTCACAACTTTCTCCAGCTCAACAACTACAGTGCTTGCACCTGGGACCATGTTCGCCTCCATGCTCGTGCCTGCTTCCAACACGTGGACACCCTCATACGACAGATGAAAAGTTGAGATCCTCTCACAGCTTTGTCCAAACATCTCAACACCCAGTGACTGTTCTCAGACAACCGCAATGGCCACCCAGCGAGAGGAATGAGACGCAGCAAGGGCTTGGGCAGCCCAGCACCATCTGCTCAGCCTTCCTCCACCCAAAGATCACAGCAACAGGGAGACAGGCATGACTGAGCCCAACCCACTGGCACCACGTCAAGGCCTGAGTCTGGCTATGGCACAGCCCATCCTGCCAAACGCCTGGCCCACACCACAGCCTGAACTTGTTTGGAATGGAAGAAGGAAGTCTTTGTGATGTTGAACACCTGGGAGACAGTGGGGATAGGATCACCATTTATTTCTGAGGCAGTCCTGCAGACAACTTCCCCTGATGGAGGGGGAAGGTCTCAGTGGACGTCATTGGACTTGCACATGCTGATGACTTGCTATTTATAACAGCACTTTATTTATTTGCCTATTTCTCCCTCATTCTTTTTTTATTATTATTTACTTATATTTATTAATTGGTTCCTTTATTTATTCACCTTTTTTCTGGAAATAAAGACCTGATATTTAAAAAAAAAAGTGTCATTCTGTACACACGCATAGACAAAGGCAGGCTTCCTGCCCATAGGCAGAGCTTAGCTTCCCAACAGATCTCGGCTACTGACCATTATCATGGACCACAGGGCTGCAGGAGAGCAGCACATCACCCTATCCACAGACCCCATGCACTTCTCACATGGCAACAAAAGCCCAGTGGTGCACACCCAACACAACAACATACATTCATTCAGGTTAGAAAAAACCTCTACAGGATCATATACTACCCAACAACCACCAAGTCTACCATTAAACCATAGACATCCAACATTTTGTCTTACCTGGGCCACACTGAGTGAAGACAAATTGCCTCAAGCCAGGTATAACTTAAATAATATACACACTGTATATAAGCAACAAAACTTACTTAAAAATAATTTTTACTAAAACGAAAAAAATGTGCAACAAAACTAGTGGGATATCTGACTTTCTTTTTCTGAAACTAATGCACTAGTCCCATCCAATGGAAGTGACTCCAATACTTACTGAGTTCTCAAAATGCTTGTTATATTTTTAATGAAATTTTATTCATCTTATATTTAATCCTTAAAAACAGTTCACAACTGCACATACTGCAAAAAGCAATGACATGAATATACTGTGACTGTGAAATGAGGGATAATTCTATCAGGTAAGACAGGTTTTATAAAGCTTAATACAGAGACACGACAAAACTCTGGAGCAGAATGTCTGATTGCAACTCCACACATTTCAATTTTAGATTACCAGATAATGTATTTATGACAACTGAAAATGCAGATACAACTACACAGAAAAAATGAAGGCTTTGTTTTTGTTTTGTTTCTTTTTCTTCTTACTTTGTTTCTGTTGCAATCTTGCAACCTATTCTCAAATATCAGGACAAAAAGAAAGGCAGCGTATTGTTCACTACTCACTGGATTATCTTCAGTGAAAATATTGGAACGCAATAAATTTTTTGTCCTAAGCTGAGTGACATAGCACTGTGCCCATTCCATATTCTGGATGCAGCTGAAGCATTGATAACAGCACACAAAAATTCAACTCTTCCCAAGACTGAGCTCAGGGTTGGGCTGGGCCTCCTGGAGGGAAAGAGCCACTGCCAAGATGCTGTGGGGCAGGGGGGTGGCTGAAGGGCAGACTGGGTTCACCATTCTTCCAACCCTTCCTGCAAAGAAGTTTTTATACTATTCAACCTAAAACATCCTCTGGAATATTCCGAGACCACATACTCCTGATCTGTCACTTATTGCATGGGAGAAGACACTGATCACAAAATCAATAACATCTCTATTCAGATACAAGCAGAAAGTGACAAGGCCGCGCGAGAAGCTTTAATCCTACAGTATTAATAAGCACAGTAGACTCAAACAACCTATAAAAGACATTTTCGATAGACAAATCAAAGCCAGGCAAACATACAAACTTGTGCGTGTACCCAAAATTAGATGCACTTCCTGAACTAAAGAGAAAAAAACTGATGTCATAACTCAAGCTGAACACTCAACAACAAAGAGCACAGCAAGACAATCACTACCACAGTCTGAAAGTTCACATTATTTAGAATAAAAGAAAGAAAAACGAGAGCCTTCATTTAAAGTTAAGTATATACTTGGCTAACAAAGAGCGAAAAACTAACTACTTCAAAGAATCATCTCAAACACAAGCTGAGGCAGACGTGCCTGCCGGGTCCAGAGAAGACGTTAGCACCAAACAGTGAGTACACGGTAGGGCACAGGAAAAGGTCACCCACAGAAACTGAGGACGCCCCAACACCGGAAGCCTCTAACGTCAGGCTGGAGGGGGCGTTGGGCAACCCGCTCTAGTGGAAGGCGGCGCTGCCCACGGAAAGGGGGTTGCTTGGAAGCGGACGGCACTCGAGGTCCCTTCCAAACCAAACCACCCTCTCATTCTATCATCTCCTCAAGTCTCCTCATCCTCAACAGGTGCTTAATAACTACATCAGGGGGCTCGCCTCCATAAGGCTTGTGGACTCCTCCTGGACACTCAGACAAACCTTTGGCCTCCGCAACGTAAGATCCTTGCCTTACAACTATCCGCCTGCTGGTCCATTTCCTCCTTCTCACCGGATGCCACAGGAAGCAAGGAAAAGAAGAGACGACGGAGGAAGGAGACGCGGTGCCCGAGGAGCACCACAGCCGCAGCACCCGCTCGGAAGCATCGCTTCCCTTTCTCATTCCTCCTCAAGCACAAGCCTTTTCTACATATTCTCAGCAGCCTCCAACGCAGGCGGCGCTGCCTACTCCGACCACTACAACAGCCAACCCAGAGTTCCTCACGCCGCCGGAAACTACCCAAGGTTCTTCCAACGCGCTTCACTTTGCAGTGCTTTCTAAGAAACAAGCACAGAAAGCAAGCCACGGGCAGCACACATCGCAAGTCGAAAGACCAAGACCCATTACGGCATTAAGGCGTTACGTAAGAAAAGCAGAGTTGAACAGGAAGAGGGATTTCACTGAAGGATGCACCAGAGCTCTCGCTGCAGGCCTAAGGGAAAGGATGAAAACAGATATCTGCAGAACAGCTGACCCAGAAGATTCCGCCCCACCACTTTCACATCCCCCTTCCAACCCTTGCAGCCAGCCACCCAAAACACACCGCCGGACCAGGATCTCCACCAACAGCCCCACGCACACCCAAGCCATTTGCTCCCAGACCACAAAAACCAACAGCCAAAAGTGAAAGCCACAGACAAAATCTCTCGGCAACAGGAAAGCGACGAAGGGAAAGATGACACACCACATAAAGCCGGCACCGCGGCAGCACACAGACCACTGCCACCACCCAGCCCCACCAGGCTCCTGCCCACCACAACCAGAGTCCCACCATGGCTGTGCCTGCAAGCCCACAGCACCCACGGGGCTACAGCATCCTGCTGCTCACGCTCCTTATGAAAGCTCTCGCCGCCGCCGCCACCGCCGCCACCGCCTGCAACCACCTTCGCCTCCAGGATGCCACCTTCTCTCGCGACAGCCTCCAGCTCCTCCGGGACATGGCTCCCAGCCCACCCCAGCCCTGCCCACAGCACAGCGCGCCATGCTCCTTCAACGACACCATCCTGGACACCAGCAACGCCCGGCAAGCCGACAAAACCACCCACGACATCCTCCAGCACCTCTTCAAAATACTCAGCGGACCCAGCACTCCAGCCCACTGGGTCGACAGCCAACGCCAAAGCCTCCTCAACCAGATCCAGCGGTACACCCAGCACCTCGAGCACTGCTTGGCGGGCAGCGACACGCGCTCCCGCACACGATGGCCTCGCAACCTTCACCTCACCATCAACAAACACTTCAGCTGCCTACACACCTTCCTCCACGACAACGATTACAGCGCCTGCGCCTGGGACCACGTCCGCCTACGAGCTCGCACCTGGTTCCTGCGCATCCACGACCTCGTGGGCAACACGCGCACCTAGCCCCAAGCGCACCTCCCACCCTCTTCCTAGTTATCTATTTATTCAACTGTTTATACAAACGACTATTTATTCGTCTATTTATTCTTCTATTTATTCAGACAAAATAAAGCTCTCCTTTCCAAAACTGCCTGCGACTGCCTCCTTTCGCTCAATCACAGGAGCCCCTTTCGGGGGCAACCAACCCTGGGATTCTCACACACAGCTCTGAAAACTCTGGTACCCGCTTACTTCTTCTGTAAACCTTGCAGGTCCAGGGAGATCCACGAGTTCGCCACAAAAAGCAGACAAAGCAGGGACACCTGTGGCAGCAGGACCGGCCCGCTTTGACTAACAAAGCCAAAGCAAGAAGCTGATTATCACTTTCAGCACAGCAGCTTGACGGCCACAGCGGTACCGCGGGGACGGGCAAAAGTAGCCCTACAGTTAACTCGAGCCTTGAGTACGGTGAGCAAGAACGCAAAGGCGGCGTATCACTGCAGTACTTGACTCTTCACGCAAATCCTGTCAAACATCACCCCACACAGAGAAACCCACAAGCTTCAGCTTCTAAGGGGAAGCAGAGCAGACAAAGGTAGGGAGAAGGAAGGAGACAGCAGAGCTAAGAGACGGGAAGCTACAGTCATCTTACTCCACCATGACGGGGCACCTTCTTGGCAACCACTCCGCCTCACCTCGGGGTGGAGAATGCTGGCACAGCATGGATTTGAGTACCGCTGTGTCTTAGTTTCACAGGGCTGGGACTAGAACTGTTTTCTTCAGAGCGCCTGATACGATGCGCTGTTTTGGTTCTAGGAGAAAAACAACGCTGCTAACACACCAACGCTTACTCTTGCTGCTAAGCGGTGCTGCACAGAGCCAAGGCCATTCTCAGCAAAAGGCCCAAGGAGCTGAGGGGGAGCAGAATTAGGACAGCTGACTCCAACTGGCCCAAAGGGGTATTCCCTACCATACGACATCAAGCGGAAGGAGTTTTGAGGAGGGTGGCAGATCAACTCGCTCG